AGCGACTGAGGTAAAGCGCAGGTGACAAAGAATGTGCAAAACCACTCGAACTTTCCAAACACTTTTGAGCGCTAAATGCTTGTATTTTCTATAGAGGAGAATGTCGGTAGCTCAGGTAGCGTAGATGGTCGTTGGCTTGTTCGCTGAGCTGGGCAGTTTGATTGCAAACGTTTCATCACCAATCGAGGTGATATCATCAGTGCGTAGTTGTGCGTAGCGGTGGGTTAGCGGTTGTGCTTGTGTATAAAACGGGTCCGCTTGACACACGAGTGTCCATTCCGACAGGAAGGTTACTGAATCTAACTCGACCTCATGATGATTCTTCCATTCATTTGCTTACTCCACCCATGTACTCTTGATGTTCACCTGCTTTGTTCAGCGCTACCATACCGCACTGTTAGCGTGTTTGCATGTGTGTGAGTGTGCGTATCTGACCTACTTATCCATACGCGTTCGTGTCCCGAATGATGAGTCTGCCCTGACTTGCTCATGAGCTTCGGGTGATCGCACCTATCGATCACAACAACCGTGGGGGTGAACTAATCTGGTGCCTAAATGACAGATTCATTTGTCAGGTGTTATGACCATAAAAATCCAGTTTTTTACTCACCGTCGCTCGACATTTTCCCCTAGAAGCAAGATGTTCGAGTTATTGACTGTGAGGACTTGAGACAGTCTCCTTTTATCTTAGATACTGGTACCGACTGCCTGCGATTGTTTTTCGTGCACATGTAGGAAGTAGACAACCAAATGGACCAATCAACACACAGCTCGAGCAATTTGTTCAAGGTCACACAAGGTAGCACAACTTGGGGCATGTGTGGCTTTTAGTGCACCCTCGTGCGAAGACGAACTGATCACTTGCCACCTAAAACCTGGTTGTTGAGGGCAGGTATCGGGACGAGACAAGAGACTGTCTTCAGAGGGACGACCACAACCCACACTTTCGCTCACCGTTGATTGGTCTGCTGACCTTGACACTGCAATGTGCCGGTCACTAATAGACTGGTGCACTTGTTGGCGCCACGAAAGTGGATGATCGAAATTTGTTGTACAACTTTGCTTAACTAACGTAAGCTTTCGAACCCAATTATTCCTTTTGGCATCCAGGATTGCCAAACCAACGCGTGACTCAAATTTCCGCATTAAAAACCTCAAAAAAGGGATCCTTCGAATGCGACGTTCTATGTACACAGTCGCAAACTAAGTGCTAGTGCATTTGGCTTAATAAAACGTCATGGAAGAACATCCCTACTTACGTGAATTGATTGGTCTTTTGCTCACGAATGACAAATGACCACAAATCCGAGAGTTCAAAGACTAACAGCTGGTCAACAGTGTGGTTAACTTGCCCCAGTAAAGAGCACTTTGTCGCTCATCCCTTGTTGGTGCGATTCCCACCACATAATCAAGGTTTCGAGTGGGCGATTCACCAATGGAATGCCAGGCGTTTTTCTCACTGATGACATTACTTGGGCTACACTACACTTCCCATCTATTTTTGTTTATGTGGCTGCCATCTGCTTCACGCACCAGGCTTACGAACTTCAACACATCAGGTCAAGTTGTATCCATGTTCATGCAATAGACGCCCCTTTCCAGCTGGTCAACAGTGTAGTTAACTTGCCCCAGTAAAGAGCACTTTGTCGCTCATCCCTTGTTGGTGCGATTCCCACCACATAATCAAGGTTTCGAGTGGGCGATTCACCAATGGAATGCCAGGCGTTTTTCTCACTGATGACATTACTTGGGCTACACTACACTTCCCATCTATTTTTGTTTATGTGGCTGCCATCTGCTTCACGCACCAGGCTTACGAACTTCAACACATCAGGTCAAGTTGTATCCATGTTCATGCAATAGACGCCCCTTTCTTCACAATGCAGTCAACTCCGCCCAACGACACAAATGCGCACGCAGGACAGGAGTTGTCACGTGGTTTGAGTGTCTGTGACGTGTGATCTGCACACCCACCGCACTCTGCCTTTGCATCTTCGCAATACACGCCAAAGCATGGAAGCGTTAGAGGAGGTCTCTCTCCCACTCGAATCCGAGTCAACACCTGACCTCGACTTTGCGGAGAGACAAACGTAAACTGCCGACCATGCACGGCGCTAAAGCCATTAGTCCATCAATTCATCACGGACATAAGTGATTGACCGCATTTGAACTGGTGATCGTAATCACCTATGGAAGATGTGATGGTCCCGTCCAAACCGTCGAATTACAACCACATATACCTTATCTGGCTGCACTGACCCGCCTATCAAGACTGTTTAGTCAGGCAAAATCACCGATGCTCGAAACGAGCCGGACAATTTCCCATTAAGGGAAGTGTTGCGAGCTCAGGTTGCGTAGATGGTCCCCGATTTGTTCGCTGAGTGAGCAGCGCGTTTGGAAACAGCAAATCACCAATCTGGGTGACGTCATCAGTGCGCTCTTAAGTGAAGTGAACTGATGACGTCAACTCGATGATGACGGGAAGTTTGCAATCGAACTGTCAAGCTCAGTGTACAAACCAACCATCGTGCTCTGGACAATTCTGCATTAGTTGTAGGTACTTGATCGATTCACAAGATGTATGCTCCCATCAATCTCCCTTGAAGTAGATAGTAACCAGATCATAGATAAAACCTTAATTTAGAAGCAATCAAGCTGCTGAAGAATGAAGGCTTTCATGGATTCAGAGGTCGTATGCGTTCATCGGACCTAATTGTAACCGGTTACCTCTCATGTAAGACACTAGACTGACAAGCGCAAAGTTGCGCACTGCTGAGTGGCTGCAAGAATGACGAAACTAGAGCCCTTCGCATTGGTGTGGATTGGGCAAAAAATATTGTAGGGGTACGTAATAAACTACTCATAAGTTTACTGAAAACATTTCGACAGCCCACCACTGTTCTCTCTCATCTTCAGGCTCATCAGGTGGGCGCGGTTCCTGAGTTTCTGTCAAACCTCTGTTCTAAGTGAACACCAGTTGCAAGAAAAAGAACACTGCAAACGACAGCTTCAGAGGGCTTTAGGTGGATCTCCCGTAACTACCAAATTTGCCTGCAGATTAATGTACGAGTTGATCGTACAACGAGTTTTGTGACGTTCCCGCTACGGGTATCATTTACTTACAGTTCGAAAGTACACAGAAGATTATGGAATTATATTCGCCGAATTCGCTCAGTGTGGTGGAATCAAGCTAGGCCGAGAAGTCAGAAATTACAGCACAGAGCTCCTTTCCTGTTGGAAATAACCAGCAGGTCTGGATGCGGACTAAAATTTATGGCGCAAGTTAGCTGTAATCTGAGAAATGTTGGTACGAACATGGTTTCCCAATTGGCCTGCGCTGATTGTTTCTACCTTTTTCCGACGACTTTTGTTTGCTTGCCATTGTGGGCTCTCTGCGTACTTTTTACACTTTTATGCGTGGCATATGGCTTTGAATGTACATTTTTGCCATTTAATCTCACACCACACCCAGTATGACGGACATTCTGTGCCTGATATGCGAGTCTTTACTGTGCTAGCGCCTACCGCGCCTTGGAGAGCATTCAAAATTGTTTGTCCGTTCTTCGGTTGTCGGCCTTTAAGCGCGTGTTCTCATATCAAATTTTTAGATACTTTGGGATTCATCTCATCAGACTGGAACTGTTCTTGGCATGACTTCGAATGAGATGTTTCTCTCTTTCCCCCATATTCTCCTGTCACATCCGTCGCTTGCATTCACTTTTTATGTTTGTGACCATGCTCTTTAAAAACAAATGACAATAAGTTTCAAAAAATTCCCCGCTAATTATATAGCTGTATTCTTGTTTTCCAAGGCTTTCCTTACTTCACTTTTCGCAGAAAACCCAGAGTGGATTCCTCTCAGTTTCTCAGAGCTGATGGGTAAATTTTCCTCTAATCTTCTTTGCAGACCAGCAGTACATACGTTTTAGCCAAAAGGTCACGTGATTGATCTGTCTACCCCCAACCTGTAAGCTACAATCTTGGTCACTGTTTGAACCTACAAAGTGTTCCTCACGCATTGCCAAACCCGTAGTATACATCCACATGCAGTTGAACATTCGGTTCGGAATTATCGTCCATACTTCGATAATTATTCTCAAACGGCAGTAAATATCACAGTGTACACCTTACCCTAAATGACTTGTATAGATTTACCGAAAGATCTCGAGGACTGATACCAGTCCTTTTCGTGTCAATCAACTGGGATTTCTAACAATGCAGACGAAATCCAAATGGAAGGCAAACTTCCAAAATCCCACATTCACGTTGCCGCAGTTTTCAGGAATCGCTTCCATTCGTCATTTGTTTGGTCAAGTGATTGTTTAAGACATCTCAAATCTTAGCAATGGCGATCCGCACAAAGACTCCATAGGCTGAAGGCTGTTCCTTCTAAAAGCCAGATCCATAGGTGGTTGGGGACCGATCCCTTCCGAAGGTTATTGTGTACTCTCCTTGGAAAGCTAAATGTTACGAAAAGAAGACAAGTTGCTTGCAATAACTTATCATTGAATTCGAGCACACAGAGTCATGAATTTCGGACACTTTAGAGAGATTACGTAAAGACGAGTGGTGCCTGATACAGTGATGATAATAACAGAGGAAAATTAGGCGCCCGCAGACCATTCACGTCAGACATATCAGCTGTTCTTCGAAAACGCAATACAGACAAACTAGAGCAGTTGAACAAGGCGTAAAAGCTGCAAGTTTCAAATGTACGATCGATTGGGAAAAAACAACGATTAGATGAACGGCGGATACATGTAGCGTGTTCTAATGACAGCTATCTTTGCAGTGATCCTTTCCTACTCCAGGTTTGTGACAGTCATCTGCACAATGCGGTTTCTTCTGCCCTTCGTGACATTCATCTTTGCAATGACCTGGTCCAACTCCGGGTTTATGACAATCATCTTGGCAGTGAGCTGTCGCAGGACAATCGTCTTTGCAGTCGGGCCCTCCTTTGACATGGTGGTGGATTCCTGTGTGTTGTTCTGAAAACAGTTGGGGTGTTCAATGTGGAGTTTATGAAAATTCCACTTATTCAAGAACTTCATATGTGATGATTGACGAGTCCTAAGGTGCAACAATGTGTAGAAATCTGTAAAACTGAGTACAGTGCAGGAAAACCGAACCTATTGGACAAGAGAGTATCACTCAGATTATTCCTAAGTGAACCAAAATGTCTCATTGAGTAGTCGTTCAAGGAATGGTTTTTGCCTCATTCATTTTCAGGATCTCAGTGACCTTACGACGTGCCAAACTCAGCGCTGAGTTGAAATTCATTTTAACCTTTCAATGAGTATTGCGGTTGAACGCTTTTTTGCGTAGTTCTTGCGCCGTGTGAAGCTCCCCAGCTTATTACTGCCCCCTCTGTTATGGCAGACTCAAATTGTCTGGCGAACCTGAACACAACAAAATACTGTGGTAGACGAAATGCATGATTCTGCGAATTGCTGGATCCCAAATGAGCACAGTCTTTCACATTCATTTTAGGAAATAAATACGTTTCGGTTGTATGGAGGAACAAATGTTCTGATCAGTGTGCTTGCGGTCACTGGGCAAGCTAGAGAAAGATGTCCGCGACAATATTTATCGTTAATACGCGCTTGGACATAGAGTCGACCTGAAAATATTCTGAGTGAAATCTCATCTTTATCAATGAGAAATTTAGTATCGAATGCAAGCATTTCGACTGTCCGGTCGAAAATCTACCAAGTATAGTGAGTTTTTTTGCATGCTTTTCGCAGCCTACTTTTATTTTGTAAGTAGGCGAAAGTTGAAAAAATTTCACCACCGGCCACGGCCAGATCATATCAGAGGTTATCATTCCGTGGGGCATTTAGAGAAATTACAGGGTAGTATAAAAAAAAAAAACGAGCACAGTGCACTCCTCAACGAGTGCCCGACTAACACACAAAGGCTCCTTTGGAAGATACCATTTTTACAATAGGGTACCAACCAAATCAAATCTTGATCAACGTTCACTACACTCGTGCTTTTTGATCACCATGTTCACCCGTTATAACATAAAGTGGACCATGTCTCCTCTATGACCATCCAACCTTAACGTTAAGCAGCTAACAAGGAAGAAACGGTCAACCGTTTAAGCACAATGGACTTGTCTTTTGAAGCCACACCACCAACCACATTCATCGGACAAGACCACCCATGCTGTTTCTTCGTCGCTTACGGTCTCAACCAGTGTCACTCACGCAAAAACACTCCACTCTGTTTGGCATGTGAAATTAGGAGTGTCTTGTTTCATAACTTTTGACCTAGCACTTGACTCGGGTTGGAAAAAAGTAGGTCGATTTTTTGTCTCTTGTCAGATAACCGAACTTTCAGTTCGGTGACTGAACTAGGCGGATGTAATGAGTCTGACCTTTTAGAGGTTGTTCCGGAGGGTTTTGGTTACTTCTGAGAATACAGACGTCCCGGATTAGTGCGCAGTCAACCGCCATTGACTTTTATTGCGCTGATCCAGACTGTATTTCTTACCCACCGCCTGAATTAGCATCATGGGTGATTCACACAGCTACTTGTGTCCTTTTGAGTGAAGTGTGCAAAGCTGTAGAATGCGGTCACTAAGTCTTCTAATTTTTTTATTGTCGGCTGACTTCCAGGAGGATGCGTCTTACCCGATTCTGACTGGTAGTGAGGTTTTTAATGCATTTGACTGCTTGGCTAACTAGTCAAAGTTATTTTGGGAGGGCATCCTCAGTGAGACGTTTTCAGTCTCTCGCCGGACATTCAGTAACTCCGGCAAGAAATGGAATGGATGATCCTGGTAACGTCACTTGAGGCGAGGCTGAGCGATGTTTTAAGATATGGACCATATGCAACCAGAGATTCTAGTTGTAGTAAAACTATTGAGGGGTGCGGAGACAAATTTTCAAAATAAACTGGTTTCACTCACCGTGGCTTGACATTGCAGTCCGGAGAATGCTGTCCTTTGAACAGTTCAGATTCACAAGTGGACTTAGCCTCGTTATATACCAGAATGGAATGTCATCTACTTCCGGTCTTCCAATGCAAGCGAACAAACTGGAAGTAACTTTACAAGATCGGACTTCAAAATGACGTGTACATCCGGAATATGGTGGTAGTGTTCCACAAAATAGTGCAAGAGACCACATCGATGGTCAGGAAAATGGAGCACGAAACGCTTACGCGCATTAGCAAGATAGACCTTATTTCGGGACATGCGGTCAGCTAACATTGTTTGCCTCCCGACTCATCAGAATTTGAAACTGCTTTTATGCACTCTAGTTGTCTGTTGTGCTGTGTAATAGTCCGTCACTTCTGCTTTTAAGATACTATCTTTTGGGGTTCGACTTAAATAATTAAACTTGTGTTGGTTGTTAACTTCAAGTTTACTAGAACTGCTTACCACCCTGTTCTCACCAAAGCATACGCTGTGTTCCCCGGAGGGAAGGCATAGTTAGGACAGTAAACGGCATTTCGTCATCAACGACCAGCTGAGTCTCCCTGTAGCTGATTTCATACTTCGTCACCAAGTCATGTTTTGGCATACCCTGGCTCGTTTCCAGTCTCTTTATGATAAAGGATGTCAGTCCATCAGCAACTAAAGATGGTTCACCTATCTTGCGCAAGTTGCTTTCTCCGAGCAGTAGTCGGTAATTTCCAGTATTCCTGATCTCATTTTCTCACCCGACCAGAGCAAGGTTTCCGACGCACCAATGACCAAGTACTCAAACCTTTCAATGCTTACAGCTGGTAATGACCAGCCTTCTGATCCATTTGGCTTGTAGCACTCGACTGTTCGTAGATATGTTGATATCAAATGCATGTCACAGATTTTGCAGTTAGCAGACCGCCTGACCTTCTCTAACAGGAAGTCATCTTCGACTCTAGATAGATAACCCTCGCTGATCTCCAAGTATGAGTCTCGGGCTTCATCCTACCTAGCCTTACAGGAGCATTTGACTGTTTCAGGCATAAAAAGCACGCTAAATCTCCAGGTAAAAATAGCTGCATTATTTGGTTCTGTGCACCTTTCAACCAAATTGAATATAAAGAAGGTTGCATCGTGTGAGTGATTGACAGTTGTGACCGAAATTCCTAGGAGGGATTACGATATCACAGGCGCAAAACGTTTGGAGTGAGTCCAAAGGATCGTGTCGACGATAAAGCCATACACAGGAGGTAACAGGAGACAGAGTTGTGTGAAGCCCCTAGATTGAGTGAAATTAGTATGGAACTTGCCACCCAACTACAGCTTTGTCGTTTAGGCCTTTAAGAAAGGTCTAGGTAACATCCCTTCACCATAATCAATGTCGTGGTTCCCGATCCTCACCAGAGTCAAAGACGTTTCTGAAATCAAGAAAACGGATCAACGTTGGTGGGTGGAACTAGTGCCGCTGTATCGGAATCCGTCGGGGAGTGTTTCTGAGAAACTCAGCTTGATTTTCACTCATTTGTCTCCTTGCGTGTTCAGTCAGCCTGCAGAAAATAAGGCCAGGGAGCATCTGGGAAGTCACAGACAAAAGATTGATTTCACGATGGATTAAACCCAGTGCATATGCACCCATTTTGAAATACGAATGATTGTTTTCTCTTCTATTTTCCTTCACTCCATACGTTATCAGTGAGCTTTCTCTGGTAAGTTATCAGATCTCGATATTTACTGAAAGAGACTGGATATGGACCGTGCAGGTCGGACCCTTTTTCGCACTTTAGAATAAATTTCAAGGCTTGATTTTCCCGCATACGACTATGGTCTGCATTTTATTCATAACCTGGTTTTGAGATGCCGACTAAGTTGATCTTTAAAATGCTGGGATCACTTACCAAACCTCCCTCTCAACTGTGCTCTTGCTGGCGGCAACATTCCTTTATCTGGTTGAGAGAAATAGACGAAGTAGGATACAGGTATTTCCTCCGACAAAAATCATCGTCTTCTTAACATTCCCTCTCCTTCAGGAAGCTAGCTTTTTCCTCGGGCTTTGTGTCTGAGGTATCGGTGTGCATCTTAGCTATGATGGTCCAGTAGTACGAAAACTCTGGAAAGCATCAGATCCAGCGTCTCTTGCTTACTGAAGTATTCCGGATAAATCTCGCTAGAAATTATCTTCCGCAGCCTCAGTAAGCAGTCTGCCGGAGCAGCACACTACGAATGAACTCTGGTTTTGACGTCGAGGTTACAAAAAGTTTGGGTGATGTCAATCCAACTTACCCTTCAGATGACCGCTTGATCCTGATTACACATAGTTGGAGACGCTGTAAGATATGGCTGAAAATCGATGTCAGTGGCGTTTTTCTTGTCAGTTTCTATCCGCATTCCTTGAACGAGTGTCTGGGGGTGCATGAACCTCGAAACGATTGAAGTAAGCCAGCACCAAGTCCATCTTTATTCTTTCAAATAAACCATGATGATACGGCAGCGCGGCATCATTGTCATGCTGCCCATGATGATGATGAAGACGTTGAGTAGCACTGAGTTTGGTTGATCTGGATAGTCAAACGAAGCACTGGAAGGAGGATTCGCAATGAAATTCAGAGAAACTCTAAATCTACGTGTACACTATGCACCATCGCTTCTGAATTGTCAAACATTCATAATTATTTCTAGGTGCTTCAAGTTGAATGATCAAATTGGAGACCTGTATACGTGTTTGGGACATAAATTCGGGTGAGTCTAGGGAGCTTGACAGCGTTGCATGATTTTCAATTCACCGTTGAGGACGAAGTTTGAAAGTTCCTACGCAAAAATAATATTTTGGACTTAGTAATGCCATATTCTGGCTTATGTCCCTGAGCAGCGGGTTGGATAAAGCACATTCGCCACATAAGTTATACTTAAACTATCCGACGAAGCTTTAGTGTGAGACAAGGACATTTCGAGGATGGACAGCGATGAAAGAAGAACCATGGGTGGGAAGTGATATTCGCCGTTCGACCAGGCCACCAAAAGGGGCTTAGCTGGTGTACTCCATTTGGAGCGGGTGACTTAAAAGGACGACTCAGGCCGCAGTGAGAGATGGAAGGGTGGTTTCAGGAGCCCTGCCCGTAAACTCTGAAGAATCTTGTGAAAAAACGCAGACGCAATCGTCCGGTCTGCTTGGCTCTAGGATGGCGGACTAGCCCAGAAGTGCACGAAATAGAGCACAGATCTCTCACTCTTGCACCCCGCGGAGGATTTTGGAGGCTAACCGGACTCTTGATAGGTTGACCGTATCGGAAAATTTACATTCGAATAAGTTCGGTGGTTAGCACTCATTTGTAGTCCTAAGCACACCTACGTACCATTATCGATCACCGCACCTCAACTGACCAGACGGATAATGTTTGGAAAAGTGTTAGGCTACGATACCTCCATCACAATCCTTTGGCCTGACAGCCGGACACTATAGGGATGGTTAGACCGCGGATGTAACGTCAAAATGCTACGTTACCACGCAGCTACGAAGAAAGCCTTATCATGCTTGGAAGCAACAATATTGACCCACTTCGGCAAGCCACGTACTGGTTTTCCTGATTCGGACATCTAGATAAGAGGAAACCCCATTTTGACATGGCCTCCCTACCAGCTTAGTACAGCTAGCCTGCACCTTATGGACTTGTCTGATTGTAAAATCGCGTATACCTTAAGGTAACTAGTATTTTCGTGAGGGGGACTATTGGACTAACAAGATACCACTCGCCATTAAACTGGAAAGAAAAAACATCCTGTTGTAGACAACCAAATAAAGGTAGGCTATTTCGATTATGTTCTGCATAACTCAGTGTTTAAGGCGTGAACATAATGACAGGCATCTGGTTTGAACCCAACATCGCCATGTCGACTGCACCCGTCTAGGCTTTGGCAGCCTGGCAATATCCTAGCGTTCTTCCGGGTAGCAAGGCAGCTGGGTACCGAAAAGACACTAGAGCTGAATGGGTGTACTTTATTTTGGCTATGTAACCCAGACTGATTGGTTTCTAGCACGTGGTGTGACCTTCATCCATAAGCCAGGATTCTTCACTTCGTCAGTGGCAATTTCGTCCACAATTGAAGTCAACCGATGCTGAAAAGCCTAGAAGACTTGTGCAGCTGCACTGTCACTGATGGGAATCGTGGTTAGTACAAATCTGACGAAAATCCAGCTGGTGGTTTTCAATTAATGAACTTCCAGCTTATGGTTTCAACACTTAAATGAGTGTCCGACCAACAGCATGATTGATTCGTAGGTAACAACCGTATAGTGCTTCTCGACTTTTCAAAAGAGGCTGGCTTCACCGAAAAGACGGAATCCTAAACGAGACTTCCCCAAACTCTTCACTCTGTCAACATTCTTTTCACTTTGGTTTGTCATAACTCCTGTCAGTAGGTTGTTAAGAGCTGAGATGCCCGTTTGTTGAATGTTTTCTGGATGCGTTAGAAAAAGACTTATCAGCACTCATTGCCAAAAAGTGATTTCGGATGGTGATGATGATGAAGACGATATTGATGATGATGATGATGATGATGATGATGATGATGATGATGATGATGATGATGATGATGATGATGATGATGATGATGATGGTGGTGATACTGATGGCCCTGGGATGCAGCGGCTTTACTGGGATATTTTGTTTTTAAACCCGAAAACTAACACCATGGAATCTTCTGCAGGTTAAGACTTCGCGAAGGTCCCCTTTACAGCCAGAAAAAAATCAACCCCGGTTTACTCAAACAATAAGAAAGATGTATATGTCTATCTTCAATTTAAAGGTAATACAGCTGCGCACCAACCGATTGCGCAGAGGAACAATTATGTTAAACAGGGCCGTGGGATTATGCCTTCACGACCGAATTACGTCGTATTGCATCATGTGCCAGAGAAAGGTCAAAAAGGGACACAGAAAGTGGCCAAGGCACCCCGTACACAAGCGCACAGGCGGCCATCTATGATCAACCGATACAAAGGAACAACCACCCGAGAACCAGTGTGGCCATGCAGGAGACACTGGTTGGTTGACAGTGGATCGATCATCAAATACGGTGACAAGTGAATCATATACGTAGAAAGTTGTAATTGCCTTAATGCACAGTTCCTTCTGGTCGCCTTCTTGTCTTCTGACTATAACCAAGTAGCGTCAGGGAAGGTGAAGAGATACAACAAAAGGCGACCATTGGAACGCACATCAGCATAAGGCACAAGCTCAGTTCTGCAGTTAAACGTGTTTCGGATGTACTTAAGCTACGTCTGATACCTAGCAACAGAGGATTAACTCTGCAGAAGTCTCAGACTGGGCTATTCACTCTATCTGCCTCTAGTTCGGTCTACCCATCAGCTGAACAGGCGCCTTTATCCGCAGGACCCGAGCCACGTGATGGAACGCATTCCAGTTATTGTCAGGAAAAGTGTTTGATTGGAGGTCAAATCGTAATCCTGCATTGCTAGTAGACAGGTATTTGTTTGGCACTGGCCACTAGATTGACCCGATCGACTCTTTCCGAAACTTGTCGCGCAACGTGAACCCTAAGGTTTTAGCGTTAAGCGATGGGCTGTTAATCAAATCAAGCCAGTCCAGAAACAGAAAACAGTTGGACCAGACGATGTGGTAAACCCTGGTGTCGAGTGGATAGATTTCAGAAGTCAGCGGGTAAGCATCCGTTCAAGACCGTTTCTATCAGGTTATACGTGAGCGCCTGAAGAGCGCAAAAGAAACTATAAGATATCTTCTGTCAGTTCTAAGGAGAAGGGTGAACCGAAAAAATTGTTTCAGGTAGGAATCAACTGATAGGCACCCCTTCGTTTCCCCATTTGTAGTAATACCTGACGACTCCTGGCTCCTACACTGATGAATGCGAACTTTGGTGGATGAAGTCATTCCAGAGCAACAGTCAGGATCTACCAGCCAACCGAATATCATGGTTTGAATTCCCCTAGTGTCGTACGTTCAAGAGGAATGCATCGAAAGCAAACAAATACTATCGGTCCTATTTGTTAACCACGAAAAAGCCTTTGACTCAGCGAAAATAGATGTGCTTCTTCGGAATTCAGGTTGCCCGAAAAGATTAGGTAACCACGCTGAGTCTTCTCACTGTGGATAACGGTTTGCGGAAACATTTCTACACGGAGTGAAATAAGGCTGCCCTGTAGTATCAGTCTTATAGACGATTCGAGATGTTTCGAAACTCAAAGCATGGTTCAGCTACTCAGCTGCGTGTGGATGGAAGCGCGTAGTTAATTCAAAATGAATTTAACCCAGACAATTTGAAGGCTCGTATGTGGCGTTCACTGAAGATTATGCCCTGATGATCATTTCCGAAGCGGAATCTCGGCAAAATCTCGCTTCGGGTAGAACCTAAATACCGTTAGCCTCCAGCATTCTGTTACGCCGTCTCTGTAGATTCGGCACCAAGTGTTACGAAACACACAGCTGAATTGTACGGGAACACGTGTCGCTCAGATTCCTGCCAGCTGGACAGCACCGTAGTCACGGACATCTCAATAATGGGCTACACCAGCCACTGTTGAACGCTTGACGAGATTTCATACCAGAGTAGGTCTTCGTTCATAAAATGTGACCTGCCACCTGGACCGGTGGATTTCCTTCTGTATAACGGGAATCCATTATCGAATCCGGACTATTTAGAAACCCTTTGGTGACCAAATCAAAATGCACGTATTCAGAGTTAATTTCTTCGCAGGAACTGTCAACATTCACCAGTCATCGAAACGCGCCACGTTACAACACGCGACTCTGAATACCCATCTGTGACCAAGGAATAAGTAAGAACTGGCGAAGTTGTATAAATTCACATACTGTTTGCATACTATTACCGGTAAATGAGATTTTGGGCGACATCTAATCACCCTTCTTCACGCAGCAATCGCAGCAATCGCAACCGCATTCGCATCCTTTGCACTGGCAGTGACCAGGCGAACAGCTGCATTTCCCTCCCGCTTTACAGCCGTCACAACACACGCATCCGTCACCACCACAAGCTGAAATGTGAACAAGATATGAATGAAAGCCTAACAGTAGGATGCAATTATCCAGTGACAATCAAAAGCGAACTCAACGACGGACTCCACCACTCACGTTTCATGTCACTCGGGGAATGTTTTTTTGATCAAGCATACAATAAGCGTGAAAGCATGACTATTTATTGACTAGGTTATTCCAATGTGAAAATAATGTGAATTGTCATAACCCTGTTATTGTTTCACATTAGGCCAAATAGTTTGGACTTGTTTTCTCACGGATCACGGCTTCATGTGGCAAGCTGGTCACCTGATCAGCAGATACGTGTGGCAGCTTATTGGTCCAGAAGAATAGCTCTAAGGTCTGAGCTCCTATTTCCGCCACGTTACAGAATCCTGACCATGGTCCATTTCGGTCAACCTTTTGGTGAAGCTAGCTGATAAATTACCCGAATGAACTAAATTTAAACTTTGTGCAAAGTTCAAAACCCTTTCGATTTTCGTAGTTTTCAGTATGTTCTTTACTCCCTTTACATCTTTGCACACATGAACGGTAGTCCACCCAGATCACGCTTCAATAGCAAACTCCTGAGTCTTCTGAAACAATCGCCGTCTCCAGTTAGGGCACCCTCCAACCTCTTACAGTGTCAGCGACCTCGCTCTTGAGATCCGGCAAACCTCCGAAGAAACGTAGTGTGCACAAAAAGGTAGCTGGGGTTGGGGAAGGTAGATCAAAATTATGCATATTTTTTAAATGGAGGATGACACCTTCGAACGGTGCAAATTTGGGATGTCAATAACCCGGTTTGCTCTTGTAAAGTGCTCTAAATTCAGGATACACTGACTAGACCAATTATGATCTGGGATCTCCTCCTGGTTATTTATTACTCGGTGCAATTACTCTAACACTGTAAAGGACGAAACGCAGCCAGAATTCCCTTTACCATCAACTGAACTTTGAGCTCCTCGATCCTCGGTCTAGCAAGCTGAAGGAAGAGTTGTACATTTCGCCTATGGTGAGCTCATGAGTATTTGACGTTTGGCCACAGGTACTGGCGAAAAGCTCAAGCGTTTCTCGAACCCCGAGAAAAAACGGCCAAAGAAACAACGTTGAATCAAACGGCTTGATTGAATCGCGCTGAATTACACTTATTCCTATACGAATACAGTCACGCTTTCAAAAAACACTCAACTGAATCTCTAGTTTATGATCTTCCTCAAGTGAATGTGCTGCACAAATGTTGCCTCATGTTTCAGTTGGTACTATATTCGAGATATCGAAGTATAGCTTCATAAACGAGAGATTCAGTTGTGTCTCTCGTGAAAACCCAGTTGATAGGCAAATGGGCGTAGTTGTCAAAACCCGTCCAATTTTGGTTCAAGTAGAACATAAGGTCGATGAAAACACGGAGACTCTGCCTATCTGATGAGTACTAAGAGGGGTGAAACTGGTCGTAAATTGTCGAAGATTTTTCAGCAACCTTCTGAGTAGTTCCCTTCTGGGAAATATACTGATTCCTGTTCCTGTTCATCACCGCATTACCGACAAGTGCTGTCGACCTATCAGGCGCTTTGATCTTTTTAGCCAGTACGGTTCTGATATTCCAGCCGGGAAGGTTAAGTCGTTAAGTGACAATGCTGTTTATACAGGTTATTCTCGTGTTGCTCAAGTTTTGGAAGACCGGCTTGTGCCCCTACTACCAAAGGTCAATCTGGATTGATTTGAAATAATCCATCTTGGCATCCTGGAAGGAGTAGCATGACAAAAAATGACAATGGTTTCTTGAAGAAACCTCTTTGAAGCCAAGGTTCCGGAGCTCTTGTATACTTGGCTGTGGGTAGCAAGCCCCAAACGAGGGCCCTGAGTGTAGGGATTGCGTCTGTTAGGCTTGGACCTGGCATGCACGTAGGTTGCATTGAGCCACATCAGTCTGCTCGTTTTTAGAAGAATTTCAACCGTATTAGTTAGCAGGTCAGCGAACATGGCCAAACAGTAGGTGACTAATGGAGGGGCAGATTTATCGGGCAACCTTTCTCCAGGAGAGGCGGCATCGCCGATCGCGTTAGTGAGAAAAAGGCACTTTTCCCTCACAATTCTCTAGACTGCACAGTTGCATGACCAGCCAAATCAGGAGGTATCGCCGCTGTTCGTCTACCTGTTCAACACCAATCGTGAATCCCAAGGAACAAATACTCAAATCATTTCAGCATCCAAGCCCGAAAAGTACGAAAAATTAGGAGTCCTATATCGGTTGTTTTGCATGGTACAGTTATCCTACATTTACTTGACTTGGCTTCGTGTTGGGCTGGATACTGAATCATCATCGACAGGAGTATACTCGTGGTAAAAACTGAGACCTAGCTTCTTTGCGTAAATAAACGTCTGACTCAAGAGTAAGGAGAGGAAAGTAAAGGATAAAGCAGAAATTCTTGGTGTTCTGTGAATAAACTATCACGAACAACGTGCTAACATCGTTTCAGAGGGGTTTGGTAAACAACCAACCTAGTTACTCACTCACTTGGCTTGACGAAGCTTTTGTGTCAAGAGCGAAACGTTGCTTAGCATTTAATCCACCGATTGTTTACCAAACCCCTCTGAAACTATGACTTCCCAATCGGTCCAAAACATTTTCCAATTGATTGAGAACGTGCTTACATCTCCAAGCAGCAAGGAAATCTGAGGATCACACTGTAGTAAATCGCCATCACAAAGAATGACTCACCAAATTTGAAAAAAATTGGGACCGATTGAGAACTTATCTTTTCATAAGAGCGTGATAAACAATCGGCAGTTTTTTTTATTCGGGTTACGTTTCGTGTCTGACACAAAACCTTCATTGGGCCAAGTGAGCAGGTCACCAAATCGGCCAGGTTATCAAACAGACGGGGAAGTAATCAGTTAGTCCTCTCCAGATTATCACAATAGATCAGTGTTGGGTGTCAATTAACGGCTCTTGTCGGTTAGTGTGGTTGTCAAAATCTTGTGTTAGTGGATTGGAGGAGTTTCAGATTAGTTCTGATCGGGTTAGGTTCCTTAGTTTTCCAGCTCAGTTGATGAATCACCTCGGGTGCCACTGGTAGATTTTCCTTTGTCTTTGTGGGGTTGTGGAATCGATCACCTACAATGTGCTGTGGGGTTTTGAACCAAGCGAGTTGAGGCCTACATGATCCTAAGTCAGGAAAATGCACATTTTGTCGTGTCAAGATTGTTCTCGACAGACTACCTACGTAAACTTTCACCATTTACATGGTTGCACTATGAAAAAAATCTTCTGAACTTCGGAACGAGCGATTGGATCAGCCCTCAGAACAAACTGTCGACTTGAGATCTCGTTCCAAGACCTCTGGATTACTAATCAGCCGTTTCTACCATACGACGAGAGCGCCTGAAAAACAACGACGGTTTGTCATTTGAAGGTTCTTGATGACTATGGTTGTTAGTGGTAAGATTTCTGAACTATGCAGACGTAGGGAACGCACCGTGGTGTCGATGGTGTCTGATGGTATGTCAACGACCTTGTTATAGTAAAAAGTGCACTAGCTTATCGAGTCCAAACGACTAACTCGTCTTCCTTCAGGCAGTTGGGACTTACTCCACTGAACATTCAGATCAGCGGGTCAACTGCATCAAACTGGGTACCGGAAAGTGAAACGATATGCTTTGGTTCGACGGTAGTTCGATGATGATGATGATTATGGTGATGATGATGATGATGATGATGATGATGATGATGATGATGTCAACGGATCTTCTTGACTCTCTCAGAGAAGGACGATCCAACCGATCCGGGCATGGAAAGACTTCTCTACACCGGCATCACGACAGCACACAACCAAACACACCCAACTTGGACCAAGTAATAAATTAAAGCAGTGAATCTACACACTGTTTACAGACTGTCACCGGTAAACGAGATTATTCGCGATATCTGATCACATTACACGGAACAGTCGAAACATTCACTCGTGTACGTGCTCTTACATTGACCAGGCGCACAGCTTAAAAACAATGTGAATTCTCATGACCTTGTTATTTTTTCACATTAGCACGAACCTTACGTGTGCGTGGATCACATCAAGTCAGATCACTAAGAGTTTCACGTGCGACGCCGGTCAGCGGATTAAGTAATCTTTCCGGAGCGGTTTACTCCTGGTTGTTTTGGTTAATTAACCTGCTAACTCAGACTTCAAAGGTCATCAACACTTCATTCTCTTAGGTCTAGCGCTGATGCCAGCTGATGTATCGCCTGACTGGGTTCACCCTTTGCGGTGTCCAAAACTTGAGGATTTCCTTGTTGCTCATAGGCTTTTTTCTGCGCGGAAAAGCGCTAATCTTCTCATCCCGTTCTCTATATCGCTATTCAAAATGCCACTGAGAGCAGCCCCATCTAAATGCAAGTAAAGATGAACACCTCGGTAGGTGACCCATTTGTTGTCCATAATTAAATCATAGAGTGATATGCACTTTCCTTTCCTCATCCCTAGAGTGAACTCTGTTGATGCCCCTTGACGCACCTGGACGGACAAAATTTGTGAACGACCACAAGAAGAATATTCCATTGGGTGTCCTAGACAAAAAAGTAAGGTCACGAAATCCGAGTTCAACATGAAGACAACCCCCCTCCCTAACCAATTTATCATAAATACCAGTCATCTCCACAAACCACCAAGTGGGAACTTCGAACAGACACCCAGCGCTGATCAGTTCGGCTGGTCATAAGAAATCCCCGGATCGGTTCCCTGACTCCCTTAGAACTCGATCAACCTGATAACTTACTCACTTGACCTGACAAAGCTTTTGTGTCGAAGGCAAAACGTTGCCCAATAACAAATCCACCGATTGTTTACCAAGCACCTCTGAAAAGAAATATTACCCATTTCCGATTCATTAAATTGTAGTATCCTTCGTGCGGCTGCTCCTAGTATAGCTGACTTCCATCGTCAGTCGTTCTGCTTTCAGTCCACCCATCATACCTACTCTTCTGGTTCGATTATGTATAAACGTTGACACGGTAACTCACATGTTTCTTACTGGATTCTTACTCGTATCCGTTTAACGGAAAGACTGACACTTGAACATACGGGAGTCTAATGATGATCATAGAGGTCTTGTGGCGAGCTATTGTTTGTTACCACTTCGCCGCCTGGACCATCTACGTCCACCGAAAATCACTTACTTCTCTTCGTCATTTTCGGATTTGAGTTGGTGGTTCTTGTTCCGACGGCGAATAACCCCGAAGCCCTGTTGGATGCGTGCGCTTTAAGTAAAACTGACCATAAATTTTTTTCAATAAGGAATTCATTATATGGATACATAAGGGTCTCATCAACGGACATCTTCTAATGCTGCCTGGCCTAATTGGCACCTTCCTCGATGGTGTCAGCCACTAATTGTTCGAACTACTTAACTTTTTCATGCTCAATCAACTCTCAATACAGTAAACAGACTGGCAATCTCAGAATCCTGAACTCATCCATAGCCCCCTCCTGAAATTCGTCACCACATATGTCCTCCCACAGTACATTTCCTGAGAATAATTATTTCTTTAGTGTGAAGTCCCCGAAGCACTTTTTTCTATGGAATTTCAAAAGATGAGACACTCAGCGTTGGTAAGCAAGTACAAGAACGCCTGTTATGCGTTCTACCTGAGAACTGTAGTGGATAGCCAACCCCTCCTCCATCATTTTCTATTCGGGGTCAGAAGTCATCCTTACCAGTTATATAGCCTCGCACGACTCAGTTCTGCCATACGCGGAGCGATGTCTAGTTCATGTGGACCTTTTTAATAGGACAGGCACAGACAGTCATCCTGGGTTTGGTAGTCCCCATTCGACACCATATTACAGCATAACCCTGTCTTTTATCTTGTTTTTACACGCTTGTCTGACTCTGTTGTAAGTTTCTAAGCTGGAATTTCTCCGTTAGTCGATAACGGAAGCGCATACCTCGAATGACACACATGAGTTAGCAGGATGCCTAATTAGAGTGCCAAACATGAAGGTACATTCGACAATCATATCATAAAATTTGCCTTTAAAACGCCTCACACGCAAGCTACCGTTTAATAGGTCCCCTATAAATGAAATCAACTTTCGTTCCGCATTCACGTCCCTAACAAGTTGCTGAACAACTGGGTTCTTAAAGTTGATGAGAAGCGGGAAAAAAGGACAAATTACGGCACTGTTGGCACTCCGGTGGAACTGAATGCACTCATTGGTCGGGTTTTCAAAGTGAAGCCACCTATAATCCGACAAGTCCGAGTTTAGGAACAACCTTCATTTCCTTTTGGCGACCC